AATATGCAATCATGAATGATCATGGCTTTTGCTTGTAGTAGGGTATCCCTAGAAAAAAATACACGCTAAATTATCTACATGCTATGCTAGTGTCAGTCTGTTGTTGCGTGACGATGAGAAAGCTCATTTCTGAAATTTAGAAGACAAGAATACAACGTAGGGATTGCTATGTTCTAACCACACCTTAAACCATGGCCTCAGGGCCGGGACGCTCGTAAAGAATTGTTATGCCAAAGTACATACATACAAGAGTAGTTATTACAACAAAATTGATACTACAAAAAACAACACTACAAAATTGATGGAAGAAAAATATAGACATTTTTACCATTTACTCGTCAAATCTATTAACTTTCATAAAATCATGGAGACAACTCACACTACAAAATCGTTCAGTTGAATAATTACAGATGTCAATAGCACTGGAGAGAAAATAGCATTCCGACATTTCTCTCTCAGACTTCTCGACAACTCTAGAAACAGACAACTCTACAAACAGACAACTCTAGCAGGTTTATGCTTTGTCCCTAGGTGCTTGTGTCCGTAGATATGGGAGTTTCCCTATAAAAAAATTAGCTAACTAGGAAAGCACCAAAAATTTAAAAAAATCATACATTTACCTTTATTACCCGCAACTGCCCCAAAATAAAATTAAGGATTTGGCCGTTGATGAATGAACGTTGGCCGTAAACGGATTACTCGTACAGATCTTTAACAATGTTAACAGTCGCCTCACTTGATTCCTCATCCAGTGGCAACTGCAAGTACGCCTTTCTGAGATCAATTTTTGAAAAGTTTTCTTCCAGTCAGCTGCTAAAATACCTCCTCAGTGTTAGGTGTAAGGAAATGTTTAAGAAAATTGAACTTACCAGGGTTACAAGGGAATTTGTTACCAGCGCCCGGCATACGAGTTTTTTGTGTCGAAAATTTGGCGTTTTCCGACGCACGATAACTATACATTCTCTTCTTACAATCATATAACATTCACTAAAAAGAATTCTCTCATAATATTTTATTTCCTATAGCACTTGGAATTATTAATTAATTAAACAAATTCATAATTGCACTCAAGGTCATTCAACGACACTGGTTGAACTAGATTTTCATAACGCTTTGGAATGCATTGAAAATCTAATTGTGCAATTATACTGCTCGTGATAAATCTAAGGCCTGAGGTCCTTACAAAAATCCATCTTTTTTGTAGTTAATTTATCGAATAATTGATTACATGTTTATCTCGTCACATTCGAAAGAATTATTTAAGATGTGAACTTACATTTAAAAAATTGAAACTAAGAATTGCATTTTGTTATTATTATTATTATTATTATTATTATTATTATTATTATTATTATTATTATTATTATTTCAAAAGTATCAGTGTGATGACTCTTAGTGGAGATTGCCCCATCTACCTTTCCATCAAACATTCTTGGATCCACATCTAACGGTGGACCTGGCAAAAATACTGTGAAGACGGAAAAAATAAACCATTCAAAAGTAAAATTAGTGGTCCCAACCGTCACATACTTTCTCGCATTATTCATAACGTTTAGAATTTTCATGACGTATATAAAATGCAGAGAGTTTAAGAAAATGTGACCTGCAGCATTTTTCGTCCTTTGCGCTATCCAAGGGTAATTTTAAAGAAAAAATTACGAGAAGTGTTTTTATAGAATTTTTTAATAAATTGCATTAACTTCAAGTAAAAATTCCATGTAAATACACATTTTTATTGTATACGCCCTTTTTTTAATATCTAATATTTGAGACAAAATTTCATTGCACACAGTATTGAATGTTTGCAGTGTTCAGTTTTTGCAGTTGTCGAAAATATAGGGAGTGCGCAGAAAATGGGACAAGAGACAATTTTTTCCATCCTTTGCTTCATACGACAACGATGTGGAGCTGTTTACGAGAAAACCACTGTTTTAGTATTGCATATATTTCATTCAAAATTACGCAAAAACTACTCATTTTCGAAAAATTTTACATGATATTCTGACTGTCAAACGTTTTGCTGTCACCCACTTTTTCGGTGCCGAAGTCTACAAAATTTCCTATTTTCTACATTATTACTATACTTTCTCTTTAGTACTTTATTATGTAGTAAAGCGAGAAAGTATATGTATAGAAGTAAATGTATTCTATACATATAAATGTATAGAAGAAGGTCAAAATAATGCTAAAAAGCGAAAAAAAAGAATTAAGAAGAAAAGAACGTCAGTAGCAAGTAACAATAATCTGCTGTAGGGTTGCACTGAGGTTCGTTGAAATAAAAAAAGAATATTTAAACGAAAACATGTTTTGTTTAAATTGTCCATTTTTATCAGAAACAATTTTTTACTATATGTCGCATTACTAGCGGTTCATCTGCAGAGTATGTTTCAACTTTCTTATTCGAAAACGATAAATATAAAATTATGCTAAGTGAAAAATGAAAAACTAAATCATACTCCAGAAAAACATTTTTTATTTTTATATGAGTACCTAGAGCTATAACATAAACTAAACGACACTAAATATGTCATTAAGAGGATAAAAAAAAGTTTATAATAGTAAATAAAATTCCTGAGAAAACTGGTCACAAAATGTGGAAGATTGCGAGATCACAATATTCACATTCGTAGTGGAGAACTGAGCAAAAATTCTGTGGAGCAATGCAATAATGATTTTTACAGAAAAAAAAACGAACAGAAATATTAGTTTCTAACTACCCTGACTCATTTCCTGAAATCATGACGGCAGTGTTATATGAATCAGCGGATTCTCAGTGTTTGACTAATTTGGTGCGAATCCCATTCTTACATCTAAGGAATATCGAATTATATGATAGGAAATCAGCTGACAATGGCTGCTTTCTACGTCTTGCCTGAGGCTACCACAACACAGTGTCTGCAAAGCATCATACAAGTGGCCAAATTGAAAGAAATGACCCACGTCTCCCAAATTATCGTATTTTCTGACAATTAAATAGAAAATCTCTAAGTTTTCAATACGCATTTCATTTTGGGTGCATCCGTATCAACAAAACAAAATAGGGGAGATGGAAATGGTGTTTTTTGAATTACTTTTAGAATTTTTCAGAAGTTTTTTTTCTGATAATGCGTGCATTGTGGTACGTTTCAGGTATGATTGACTTTTGAGATTTAGAGATAATTGCGTCAAGAGGAAGAATCATTTTGGTAAGTATGGTTTTTTTTCAAAATGTTCAAATTATGTAATAAGTGAGACAACTTTGCAAAATTAAGCAAAACTTTGCATAACTGAGAGTGCCAAACCAATACTCGTGGGGGTTTTCAGTAGTATTTTGAACTCTGTAATCACCTGGTTGTTTGTTAAGACATTTTCGTGATTTTCTTTCTTTCTGACAATGGTTGACAAGAATGTTAGATAAGCCAGTCCGGATGGCCGATATCGCTGATGCAGTAGGGCCGTAGCGATCTCGGACCGAGGGGTCGCGGGTTCGAGTCTCGCCTCGGGCATGGTTGTATTGTGTTCGTCCTTTCTCCCCCTATCATCATCATCATCATCATATCATGTCATCCTCACTGTTACCATATCGTTACAAGCAAATAGTGGTAGCTAATGACCTAGCAGTTGATGCGACCTGAAATAACAAAAAAAAGTTAGATAAGGGTGAACTAGCTATCTTTGCTTCGGACTTCGATATGGTAAATCAGCATTTCTTCAAAGTTCTTGAAACTTTGAAATCAGCGGGGCCACAACAGCACTATCTTTCTCACATTATTTGTAACGACTACTCAATATTATTTCATATGAACCTGCAAACGTGCCTCCAACTCCGGATCGTTAAGTTACAATGCCATTCACGTCACCCACCAATCTCATAGTCAAACGCAACCTTCCCAGCGCTTTAAAAGATGGTAAAAATTTGCATTTGCTAATTTTAAAACTTAAGTGATTTTAATTTGCATTATTTTAAGATCAACTTCAGAGGAACAGATTTCATTAATGAAAACACCTCTATCAACAATATATTGTACTTTTGCAATATTTTTTTTGTTATTTTCAAAAATACAGAAAGTTCGTGGGACCAGCTTTATTTTTATAGGCGTACTTTGGTTTGATAAAAACAAAAGAAAATATATCAAGACGTTCGTGAGGAAAGCACCAATTGCCCTTATCTCTAGCAAGAATTGCACCAAAACTACTCGCGTTTTCAAAAGATTGTGTATCACCTTACTTGAAGATGATTTTTTTAGAACAAATCTCATTAAAAGAAATCTCTGTAATCAGCATTGTAGTCTTGAAGATAATTTTTGCACATTTGGAAAAAAAGAGTTCACAAAAAAATGGGATCTGTGCCATTGTTATACGTACTCTATTTGCAAAAATATTAATGTAAAAAAAACGTTCGAATTTTTCAAGAATTGGGGCATTTTTATGAAAATAAGAACTACCGATTGTTAGGGTACTGCTCCGGCATTCGCCTGGTGTTGATCAGAGAAACCACGGAAAACTACCGTTCAGAGCAGCCGGCCGCTAGAATTCTCCTGCAGACCGCGACTGAATTCGATCTACCTGACAATCCAGTGTGCCATTGTCTGGACTCGAACCTAGGACCACCCGATCAAAGGCAGTGCAGGGACACCAGTTGATGCCAGTTCTGAGCCCTCTCCCCCAGTTTATCTAGTGTTAGTTAATTGCTTCTAGGCTGTCCGGGTGTCCGGGTGACGTGACCTCAGTACCCTGAAGAAGCCTGCGACATGACAGGCGAAACGTCGGCCTATCTGCCAACGACGC